ATCTGTACGATTCCGCCAAGAAGAGTTCCGGTGCGTACAAATCCGCCTTCGAGAGGGCTGAGGGCGCCGTCACGGCCGTCGTGAGCCCGGTCTACAGCAGAGTGAAAGGGGTTCCCGGTGATATTCTTGTTTTCATCGACAAGAAGGTAACTTTTTGCCTCCTATTTCATTTTTTTCGTTTTTTTATCGATGCCCTTTTGAAGCTCTCGTAGATCTCCGTTTTTGTTTGTTTGTGTGAGTCTCTTGGTTGATAATATATCTACAGGTTTTGTGGTAAAACATTGTAATTGTTTGTTTGGATAATTATGGACCTGTCAAATGAAAAGGTTCAATCTTATGAAGAAGTGAATGATGGGTCATCCTTGGAAATGAACAGAGAGGATGACAAATATGTTGCTTGCTTTACTGGCTTTCATATGGCTGTTGCAAATCTGGTTGGTATATTTGTTCATGTTGTGATAAAACGATGCTCCCTGTTCTTTGTCAACATTATGATAGTTATATGTGCAACTGTAGAGTTCATTGTATGTATTTGCCTGCTTACTGTCTTCTATATATATACTAGTTGCATGTTTTCTTGTGGTTTTGTTGAGTCGAGCGAGTGTTTGCAGTCAATAGAGATCGTGGGGAGTGTGATTTCACATGGAAATTTCTAATCTTGATCTGTCCATTTTTGTTGGGGGCTGATCTTTTCAATCGTCAAAATATCATTGTATCAATTATTATATTCTTGGCTATGAGTTATCATTGGCGTTTTTTCGAACTATTGTATATTTTGATAGAAAGGGAGTTATTTCGTCTCAAAATCTCAAGTATAAGCATTCCTTTGAAGAAAGAACCTTAAGGAAAGTTAATCTTTGAAACACTTGTTTGAATTTTGATGAATCGAGACATTATCTGGATATAATATTTTGTAGCTCTTATATTCATAATCTTGGCAAGTGCTACTTTTAAGACATTCCACGATTCAATATTTTTTCTAGGTAGACGAGGCAGCAAACAAATTCAACGATTGTGCCCCACAGTCTGCGAAGAATCTCGTTTCGAAAGCCCAATCCATCATCAAGAAAGCATCCGAACTAGTCCATGAGCTGACGGCGGAAGGCCAAGTGAAGGGTCCACTTGCAGCCATTTCCCATGTCTGCACAATCTCAAAACAGGTGGCAGTCAATCAGCTTGTGGTGGTTTGGTACAAGGCCAACAAGCACCCGATCATGCACGGCTTGTTTGAAATGGCTATTCCAACAGCTGCTCACTGGTCGGAAAAGTACAACAAGCTGGTCAAGAACCTGAGCACAAAAGGGTTTACTTTCATGGGCTATGTTCCTTTGGTCCCGGTTGAGGAAATATCGGTGGCGTATAAACAGGTGGAGGCAGCTGAGTGCAAGAGTGAGTCGGACAAGGAATAATTGGTTTGGATTTGGGTTTGTTTAATGAAAGATGATTGATTTGGAAATTGAAGGGTTTGGTGTAGATTGATTTGGAAATTTCTGT